TAACCCTTTATCATGTGGGTCTAACTGGCATAAGTTGAAGCAAATACAAATCAATTTAAACCCATAGACAAAAAATGTAAAAAAGATAGATAGGCCATAATATAATCTTAAAAAACTTATCCGAACCCACTCATCAAATACTTTTTTCTCAATTGTGATACATTTTTCTTTATCCTTTCACCTAAATCCACTAGAATTTTTCATATCACAAACTGCGTGATATTGTCTCTTATGCAGCTTAACCCTAAATTCGATGTGGGATATGGCTTTAAGTTGTGAAGTAGGAATGATTTGCTCTAGTATTCGCTTAATATAATCTAGATATCTGATACGAAATATCCCACTATCCGCTCTTCATCTAGGATTTTCAATCAAAGAATGTAGGCATTAAAACAGATGAAAATCCTCTTGTCGAGTCCATGAATGGTTATCGACACCCGAATTGTCCAATCTTCTTCTAGAGATGCCTCGAACCGATTAGATGAATTGGCACGCGATCAAGACATATTCAATTCCTAATCACATGGTTAGACATTATGAAACAATATCAATATAGTAAACAAAAAACAATCAAGGAAATGAAATAAACGAATACACATGGAAAGAAAGCAAAGAAGTGTGTCCTCTAAATTGTAATATTCATTGGACAATTAATGAACGCCTAAATATTTTGTAACGATATATTCAACATTAATAAAAAGCAAATCATTGGATTCATTCAAACATATGGTACATACAATAAAAACCATTGGGCAAACATTAATAAAATCCAAAACATATCTATAATATTATTATCCCCATGATTGCAACCAATGGGTGAACATTTCATTAGCTAAATTATCTCTAAACTGAGTCAAAGAATCAAATGGCTTAACATGCATAATCAAATTTTAATCTTCATATTCATTTGGTTGGGAAATACTTCCTTCAACAACATCCCTTTCAATAGGGTCAAAAACTATCTTAGACCTAATAAAATTATGGAAAAGGCAACAAGTAAAAATGATTCTACACTATATCTTAATTGAATAAAATGACTTCTCTTTTAAAATTATCCATATAGCTTTCAATATACCAAAATATCTCTTGATATAATTTCTTGCTTGAAAGTATTTCATATTGAAGTATTCATGTGGGGTTATCGATTAGAGTCCTACCCTCTAGTATTAAAATGGTATCGTTGACTTCTATAAGGTGCCAAAAATCATTCCCTATTTGTGTATCTGGCATCACACAATTAGTAATTAACTGTTAGAATGATCAACAACATTAAAAAATATGGAAATAAGGTGTCTTAATGTTAACATTACATGAACATAAACAAAATAATACCTTGTGGGATCCTCAACCCATTCCTACGTTTAATGGCATCCCTTAACACTCTATCATCTGCTACAAAACCTTTCAATCCCAGTAAAACATATATGAATTGCATATTTGGGGTGTAAACACCAAGGACATTGATAGCAATTTCTCTAGTCATATATCTAGGCATGTCTACTGCATCTACGTTGACTTTGATGTTTGTCTCATCTAAGGTACCCAAACAACCCTTGAACCATTTTTATCTATTATCTATTGAATTTTTCAATATAGGTTTTGGTTTTTTAAACAATAACTTATGCAATCTTAAAATATAATTTAACACAAAATGGAATTGTCTACTAATTGTCTTTCCAGATCTGGTCACTTGGCACTTTATAACCCTATTTTTTGTATGATGGACAATAATGTGGATAAAGTTAATTACTAGTTCTTCTATTGACATATATCTAAATGACTGTAACCCCCCTTCTATTTTAAGTAAATGACATAATTCTATGAAAGCTCTCATATCTATTCTCATATTATCTATACACTGTATATCATTGTTTAAGATCATTGAGTTTAAGTTTAACTCCCTAATACTTAGCTTATCATAAGATATTTCACCATAAGATAGTCTATGTTGTTTTTTACGTTAATATTTAATAAAGTTACAACAACAAAACATAATATATGCAACAAAGTCTCTATCTAGTTCAAATGCATTATAAACAATGTAACCAATTGCATATTCCTTCTTAGTGATAAACGGGCCATAATTGTTTAAAAGCCAGAATATCGTTAAAGTTCAAAACATAATGGAAAGCAAATCTTGGCATATGGTAGATGGAATCTATCAAACATTATCAAATAAAATATAAATCATAAACAAAACATTGGAAGATTGGAAGGAGTTAAAACAAATTAACCACAAAACATGGCGTTTATATCAAAAAACTAAATCCATATCTAAATGACATCTAAAAAAATGAAAAATAAGTTTATTTGAAGGCAACATCAATTATACACTATCAATTAGAAGGTATACACACATTTTTCATGTAAAAAATGAAGATAAACTTAATAAGACGAAGATTAAATGATGGATGAGAAAGCTAATATTGTTTTAAAGAGAAAAGTAAATGCTATGAGTTGAGATCTATTGAAATATAAATCAGAGGCATATTGGTTATTAAAACATGATGAAGACATCAAATAAAGCGTTCCATATATACAAATGCCATATTTGATATATAAATTATAGGCTCTTTTGCTTCACGATTCAACGTTAGAACGTTCATATTGTTAAAACACGATCATCAAGAAGGGAAAAAAATTTTAATATGGGGCAATTAAGGCAATTGTAGGAAGAAATGCCTCAAATTATAATTATTTAAGGCATTTTTTTTCATACATACGTCTTAATCATTTGTTTACAAGCATGTTTAAAAAAGATCATGTCATAACACTCTGATCAATGAAAATAAAAATATTTATTTCAAATTATCAATTAAGGCGTTTCAATTAGGAAAATGCCTTAAATAATTGAGGCAAGGATTATTTCAATTATTTCAGGCGTTTAAAGAAGAAAATGCCATATTTGATGATCATTTAAGGCATTTGAGGGGGAAAACACCTTAAACCCCACAAATGCCTTAAATGATGGATTGCAATAAAACAAACAAAATATTTAATGATCATTTAAGGTGTTTCTTAATGCCAAATGCCATTAATTGCAATAAAAAAAAATTTTTAGTGGAGAAAACATACAACTGAGTTGCAATCACTTCCACACATTTTTTTCAAAAGGGTAATAACTATTTCATAATTTTTTATTCAAGTCAAATTTGAAAATAACTTAACTTTTTCCTCCAGAATCCTTAAATGTCACAAGTAGATATGGGTTTTTGATTCCAAGACTTTGAGTACTATTGGATTGCAATAAAACAAATGAAATATTTAATGATCATTTAAGGCATATCTTAATACCAAATGCCATTAATTACAATAAAAAAAAGTTTTTTAGTGGAAAAACAATTGAGTTGTAGTCACTTCCATACATGTTTTTCAAAAGGGTAATGACTATTTTATAATTTTTTATTCAAGTTAAATTTAAAAATAACATAACTTTTTCTTCTAGAATCTTAAAATATCATAGAGAGATATGGGTTTTAATTCCGAGACTTTGAGTATTATTAAAAATTTATCACTTTATCTCGTAATTGTATTATCCTAAACTAAACGTGTAAATCAAATATCCACCCTCAAGATTCCATGAAAAAATTTGTGGATTCCCCCGAACCAAATACCCCCATAGATGTGGTTTTATCTTTTTTTTTTTTTGGTCTAAAATATTTGAAGATTTTCTCTCATGGAAAGTAGAACTTAACGGGTAAATCTAAATGGTAATAGACTTAACTCACGTGCACCAAAATCATGTTTGGAATTATTTTTAAAATGTTTAATTTTACCTTGAATTATATAAAGTTGATATTTTTTATTAAAAAACTCATAAAAATTAAATTTTAAATTGAGCATTTAGTTTAAAAACTTTTTTTATATCCTAAAATGGATATATGTTGCATTGGTAAAGAACTGCAAAAAAAATTATATAGATGTTAGATATTAGAATGGTATACCATTTCATACGAAACCTTTTTTTTGGAATATTTATAAAAATAAATTTTAATTAAACCAATAATAAAAAAATACTTTTAAATTAAAAAACACTATAAATAATAATAGTAATGGTAGTCAACGTATTATATTTGAAGTATTGGTTTTTCTTATAATTTTGTATTCATGTGTTGTTTTTGGCCAATTATTCAAGTGTTGCTGTGAGAGTAATTTTTATTTAAATAAATTTTATCTTTTAAAATATTTAGTTTTGTGTATCTTAATATATGTTAATATTTAATATAATCAATGTTAATTATAAAATTAAATATATTAAAATTCATTGGTTAAAATCATACGAACAAAATTCCTCCAAGTATTAAAAAAAATTTTAACTAAATAATTTTACTTTTATTATATTTAAATAAATTTCTCAAATTTTATTTTTCACTATTTAAGTTTTTTTGCGACATGTAAACACAATGATGTAAACATCACAGAAAAAGTAAAAAAAAAAAAAAAATTTAAACGGTGGTCTATCAAAAATTTTTATTAATCGGTATCATTACAAAAATAATTATTAAAAAATAATAATATATAAAATTAATAAAAAAAATGTTGATAGTTATACAAAATTAATAAAATGATTAATTATTTTATATCATGATGTAAGTACCAAATTTGCAGTCGGATTAATCAACAATTGATTAATTTATCGAATTAACAAAACTGCGCAGGAAAAATTCTTTTAGCCGATCAACCGTCCCCACTCCAACCACAACTTTGATTGGATTTGGGCCAACTTGGAACAAAAGAATGGATTGAGTTTAATTTTGGGCCTAGAAGGAGGCCAAGAAAAGGCCTCCAATTGGCATATGCGTTCGTCGATCGATTGGAAAAAGTCCAATTTGAATCGGGAATGAACTTTGGATGAAATTTGAGAAAATATAACTGAGCTGACTGGCTAGCTTGTGCAGATAAGGCCGAATGTGAATTTTCTGATGATACATTTATTGGATAAATCATGGGATAATTTCAAGGATAATTATCCCAAAGATTTATCTGATAGAAGATAAAGATCTTGCCATTCCTAAATTGCCCCTGACTTCTAGCTACAAAATCTCTCTCCAATTGTTCATTCAATACACCTCAAGCATTTCTCTTTTCCCTCCCTGAGAAACTCAGTTTTAAGCGTTCCTTAAATTTTCCCGAAGTCCTAAGGAATCCTCCTCATTTCCATCATTTCTAGCCTCCAAGAAGCCTTCCTCAATTGTTCACAATTACCCAAATAGCCTTAAGCCTTAGCCTTAGCGCCTTCGCCTTACCTTGGACCTTTGCCTAAGATTTATCGAAACCTAAAAAAACTCAGATATAGCTCAGCCGATTGGCACACTCCCAAGCGATTAGCACCAACTTTCCAACATGCCCTTTCATCCTCATTTGGTTAATCTCCTCCATACCAACCCTAGTAACTTGATCCTATCATTCCACGCATAGCCTAAACTTTACCTAAAAGAGTCTTAATTCAACCAAAACTCTGTCCTAAGAGTTTTAGTCCAACCAGACCTCTCGTCCAAAGAGTCCTAAAGCTCTCTTGAAGAGTTCCATTTTCACCAAAACTCTATCTAAAAGAGTCCCAATTTCACCAAAACTCTATTGAAGAGTCCCAATTCCACCAAAATTCTATCAAAAAAGTCCTTTTTACATAAAATTCTTTCAAAGAGTCTTAATCTAGCTAAAGCTGTGCTCGACAATCTAAAGAGTTATAGTAAAAGACAACACTATTCAACTTAACCTAGCTCAAAAGCCTAGACTTACAACTATCATATTAGATCTTGTATCGGGTAGATCCACTCAAGTATTAGATATTTTAAGTCTTTAATTAAATTATGAGCATGTTAACATATCATCCATGATCATGCAACATGTAGCATTAGGAATGAATGATGTTATGCCATATAGTCAAACCTAAGGTTTACTTTATTGTTTAGGGCAATGGATATTTTCTATGTAAATTCATGTCTAGTATGCTATGCATTATTCTGCCTTTTAGCATAAGTATATGCATGGATTATACTAAATATGCCCTTGAGGAATTTTTTATAAACTATCATTATAATATGCCATTTAAATTAAGGTTGCATTTATCCTTCTTTGGTTACATTTTTTTTTATTTATAATAATATCGTATGAACTATTATATTTTAAACATTCTTGATTGATAACTTAATATTTGTATCATTAACGATTGATAAACCATCCACGACTGTCAACTCACATACATCTTTTTACATGTATGCGTAACAGTGTGAGACATATAAATTGTTCATATCTCATTGCTTGCTCTTTAATTAATCCATAAGTCGATATGCTCATTTGAAGTGGATAAATAGATGTTGGGTTTATTCTACACAGGGTTTAGAGCTTTGATTCCTCTTATATTTTGTTTACAAACTAAGTTCTTTTAATAAAGATGAGATTGTAACCTTAAAACCAATCTAGATTCTCGGGATATATATAAATTGATTAATGACTTTTAATTAAACCTTGAAAATAAATACTGAAACAAGCGCTAAGGATGAAACACATGAAATGGATGAAAGGCAATAAACAAAAGCAAGTTGTAATTTTGAAGTAAATGTTTTTAAAAAATCTTAAAAAACAGAATCAAATGCATTAATTTCTTTCTCCATTAGAAAGATACTTGGGGTTCTCTCTTTGATAAACATTATGTTTATAAGGAAAGGAAGAATGTATGACAAGCTGTCATTCTAACTATTTGTCACGAATGACGTGGCACAAATGTGCTGATCAGATCCCAACATTAACTGTTGTGGTATACTGGGATTTTTTTATTTGATTTCTTAATTAATTCATTCATATATTTCCTTGGTTTGTTCTTTCTCCTAATATATCTAAGAATATATAAAGCGAGTGGATAAAGTTATCTGTATACATGGACTCTAAAATAGAGATCTTAAACCTTCCACCATTACATCCACCGAAACAATGTATTTATCAAGGAGAAAATGAAAGACACTATAGTAATATCGATAAAAAAGGGAAGATACTATAGTAATAAAAATCTTCATTTAAAGATTTATCAAAATATATACCAGTGATGTAAAGGAAAAACAACTATTTCTGTAGCAACCAAAGGAGTTCACTTTAATGGATTCACCATCGTCTATGGTCTGAATATAGTTTCTGTTATATTCACGTTCTTTTTCATTAGTAAATTTTATCTATTTTCTTACTACCTTCTGTATGTTTTTCTTTCTTTCAATACTTCAGACTTGCGTATTAAAAGTAAACACCCAGTCTCGAGATTGGCATAACACGCTCATAGGTGTATGGAAGGGTTTGCAAGGTTTGTATTTGTTCTATCATATATACAAATGAAATTTTCTCGCAATTTCTTTTACATCATTTCATAGTCAAAACTTTAATTTGGTGTTGAATTCGGTGCTGCCTTAATTTAATTAGTCTATACAGTCGTTTTAAGAGTTGACATCCAGTAAGTTTAAGACCTTTAACTAATTCCTCTACTTTCAAGTTGCAACTTCTTTTACACAAAAAAAAAAAACTTTAATTTGGTGTTATGTTCATTAGATTTTTCGTGCTCCATCGATGCGCAACAAGGATTAGCCTACGTTTCAGGAAAAGTAGAACAGCACAAGATATTGAGGATGCTGGGAAATGCAGGGAAGCATCAAAGACTGTCTCATGTCCACTATGGAAATCAAACACGAGCAAGAACATTAGACAATTGTTGCAATACCAATCTAAGTCTACAGAGAAACATAAATTATAAGTGTTATCACATTGGAAAAATTGATGATTATGAGTACGGATACTTTCCCTATGGAAGAAATGACGGTTGTAGATTTGACTCGGATTATCGAGACGGTAGTCCTTTGTTGACCATTCCTCGTCTGAACCATCGATGATGCCAATATTATGAGCCAGTGGAGCAACATGCACCATCACCCATATTTGATAGTTCAGGATATGATACTAATGGAAGCAAGGTTAAGGAGTATTCTTGTTGTCATATTATGTGAGCCCTATATATGAGGAGCAAGGATGATTCAGTTTCTACAATATTATTTTGTTTTGCTTAATGATGTACATCAATCTATTACTGGATTTGGTAGTTTGATCAGTGGTGAATTTGAAGAATCTCCAATAATCTTTTTTTATTCATGAATTGGGAAATCTGGGTGATTTTTTTTTAACCAATAAATTTGAATTTTGTAAAATAGGTGTAACTTTACAAAGAAGTGTTAGTACTAAATTAAATTGTCGGTAGATACTAGATACTTATAATTTGAAATTAAATATTAATTTAACATGAAATGGGGGTTAAAAGAAGGAGGGGATTGTTCCAATTTGTTGCAAATAGCTTTGAACATATTGCAATTTATTTTACAATTTTTTTTGACTAATAACAATAGGATTTATATTTGATACGTTATTATCATATAAGTTTTATATTAATAAATTGAATAATATTATCTAATTAATGAAGTGAATTAGATGATATCATTCTACTAATAAATAAATTTTAAAAAATATTAACTTTTTATATATTTATTTTATAAATTAATATTTACTCATTAATAAAATAATATTATCTTGATAATATATAAATTATATATACTAGCGTCAAATATAAACTTATAATAATATGTATATCATGCCAGTAGATGGCGTGCTTTCTATAAGACTACGTTTGGCAGGGGCAAATGTAAGAGGTTGGCACCGGCACGGCCTCTCCTCAACTGCTACAAATCCCATCATATCACTCTTTTCTTACCGTAATAATAGGTAAAATTCTGTTTTGACCCCTCCAAAATTTTTTATTTTAGCCCTTTTTATAAAATTTGTAAATTAAGATGATAAATTTGTTAAACTTTGTAGTTTTAAACTTGGTTACTGATTTGATTCTCAATAACTTTTTTATTTAAGCACTATTTATTTCTTTAAAAAGATATTTTCTTTTTCCATCAATACAATAAATATGTTTTATATGTATAAAAAAAAGAATTCATTTACATTAATATAAGTCTTACACTTTTTTGAAACTTAGATGAAAATTATTAAATTTAAAAATATTATTTTGAAATAAAGTTCCCGATTTTGGTATGATTTTACTGAATCTCATGCATATAGAGAGGATCCAAAAGAGTACTCCACATATGGGACACTTCGAAGTGAGGTCCATTTATGCCGAGAGTTGCTTGAACTGTTGATAGAGTGTAGGCTTCTTAATTGGAGTCATCAGAGTTTAAATACTCAGTAAAAAAAAAAAAAAAATACAAAAACCATTTATGCCAAAAACCCTCAAATAATTGGAGTGGAGAGGGGTAGCCCACATCAACAGTCCTTTGCTCAGCTCGACCTGCCTGCTTTGTCTGTATCAAAAACATTATAATTTATATGTATATATGGAAATATATCCCAGTATATGTCGAACTTTCAATGTTAAAAGTGAATGAACAGTGAATGAACAGGGTCTTTTCTGGAGTGCGAACAAACCAGAGTGATGAAAGAGTGCCCTCATAAACAGTAACGAGTTTGGATTTTCTTCTACAAAAAGTGGGGGAATGAGCAGTGCAAAGGTCAAATAAAGACGAGAAGCGCGGCGCTGGGCCAAATAAGAAGAAAAGCGTACTATCAGAGCTTCCCATTACTCGAGAACCCCCTTGAAATGTTCCTTTCGTTCATGTAAAAAGACAGAAAGAGATAGTGCAGGCAGGGAAAGGGAACCATTTCAATGAGTGTGTTCTGTTCTCTGACTGATGCCCAACTTATGCATGCATTGGTCATTCCAAAAATAGGACTATCTGTGCTTAAATTTGTTTCCAGATAGTACCACAGGGCACCTGGGCTCTCAATTCTAATTAATATATAGCTTTACAAATATGGCAAAACTAAAAGAGTTGTGCTGCAAAGGAATTGGATATGGAGGCCAAGAGGGACATTACTGGAGATCATTACAAGGAAGAAGAAGAAGATGAAGAAGAACTTCTCAAAACCAGAATTTCTAGTCATCCTTTGTATCGGAGGCTCGTTGAGAATCACCTCAACTGCTTAAAGGTTTTTCTCTCCTGCCCCTTCAATGTTTATATGTATGACCATTGAGCATTAATGGCTTTAAAACATCAAGGTGATCTTTTGTAAAGTCTCTTCTTTTTTATTTCCACAGACTACACATGTAGCCATTTCTGAATTGCTTCAAGAAACTTCAAAAAATGGACTCTTTTTCTTTAGATTTTCTCAGCAGTCTCCATCACATCCCACATTACTAGGCCAAATGATGAACTCTTCCCGTAGGATTTTCTTATTTGCTACACGCTGTTGATATTCTTTATTAAATATTCAAAATTTTTAAGGTCCGAAAATTTGCACTATCATTAGAAAGTGGAAGTTTCAGTATGGTTAAATGTCTCAATGAACAATATTTTAATGGAAGGCAAATCAGACAGTAACGTAACCATAATCAGAGTAGAGCTACATTGATCTGTTAGTGGGCATCACCGATTGACAGTAACCATTTTTCTCTTCCATGGTTTCTACTTCAAGGAATCAAAACATACTTATCATGTCCATAAACTAATGGTTAACTTTGCAAGAAGATTTAGGGTTCTACCACATAGTTAATTAGTCTAATAGCATGATGGTTTATGGCTAAGGTTGTTCTAAATGATTAACAATCTAGCTAGTAAGTTTTAATTAGCTTAGAGCCAAAGTTATATTATATATTTTCTTTTTTTTTTTGGGTAATTAAAGTTTTTAAATATTAAACTCTTGTTACTATAATTACGAATTCAGTAATTTATTAACTGATCATACGTCTGTATGCTATATATATTTTCTATAGCCATTCATTTGACCAACATAACATATTTATATCTATTAACTAAAATACCATGAGTCTCAAGCTCTTTGCTCAACCAATTACCAAACCATTACGTAAACTTCTAACTTGGTGCTTCTAGTGTTTAGCTTCCAAATTAAATAAACCAATGTTTGGTAGAAGAGAGAGTGAAAAAAAAAAAAAAAAAAGGAAGGAAAGGGAGTGGAAACAAAATAGTGTTTCTTTCTTTCGCTAATTCTTTTTGTTTGGTAAGAGGGAAATAAGATGGAAGGAAAACAGATGAAGTTGTATGTGTCCCTTTCATTCAAATATAATCCTTCCTAAATGAAAACAGAACAGTCTCTATGTATTTTTCATCTCTCATGTTAAATGCAAATAAGAACCCTTTTTTTTTTTTTTTGTTCTCTTACCATGTTCTTTTCTCTACATTTTCCTTTCTTCACTACGAAATGTAGTGTAAATGTCCCATCTAAATTTGCAATGAGGTAATTCTATTAGATCAACCCCAACGTGTATAGGTTTGATTCACCTTTCCGATGGGTTATTGTTTTGTTTCTGCTGCATATTCTTGGCCAAACTTTTATTTCTTTTACTTAATACAATAATTATGTTATATATGTTGAAAATTGTTCAATTATAATTTTTATTTGCACATATAGTATCACCAAAATAAATGTAAAAAATCATTGATATTATAGAATAGTGCAGTTTTCGTAGCCTGTACTTTAATGTAGAAAGGCACATGCGTTGCATTTTTCTTTCCTACAGGCTACAGCTTGTTGTTGAGATTCAGTGAAACGATCGATGTAATTTTGTTCAGGTTGGTGAGATTGCCTATAGCGGCAGAAATAGCAAGTCAAATCAAAGGAAAGCTGATGACTACAATAATCCTTGTTCAAGCATGCTAAACCATTCAGAGTTAGACCTCTTCATGGTACATTCCTTATTACTTTCATTCTGCAAATCCTCTTTTCCATTTGAGTTTCCTTCAAAGTGAAGAGTTCTTCTACCTTCGCATTATTCAAGTATCACTTTAAATTATTTTATTGTTTGGATAGCTAAAATAGGCAAGGAAAGGAAAAGAATGAATTAATCACAACTTTTGTTTTGATTAACTTGTAAAAAGAAAAGGAAAAGAGATATTAAATTGTATTGTTCTAATTATACCCTTTTAAAATAAAATATTTTTCCATCATATGAATAATCTTGATATTAACTATTTTAAATAATTTTAGAAGTTAATAAAAATAATTTCAATTAAAGAGAATATTATTAATAATTAATTCATAAAAAATGTATATTTGGAATTATTTTTATACTACAATAATTTTTTTTCAAAATTAATCCACAAATGAGAAACTTAAAAACTTAAATATTTATTATTAAGATAAAACTAACCATAAATTTGTTTAAATATTAGCATTTTCCTATAGTTATACATGTTTCATCATGTTCTTTTATTGTCGTTATTTGGTATTTGTGGAGTGATAACAAAACAAAACAAAAATTAAGATCTAAGTATAAATTAAAAATGTATAGAATTCAAAGTTATTGACCAATAAAATAATTGAGGAATGAGTTGCAAATGATTTAAAGATAGAATCAATGGTTAATATCAATTGTTAAACTTGAATATTATAATAACATTTTTTTGAAAATGATAAAATATAATAAGGATATAAAAGTTATTTTATATTTAAAAATTTTTTATTCTTTCCTTTCCTTCAAATTTATCCCAATTTGAGATAATTAAAAATTGGAACTTTTGAGAGAAAGAGAGGGATGCTCAATTCCCTTTCTTTTCCTTTATTAAAATGTAATTGATAAATCAAACAAGGAAAATTTTTTCTTATTTCCCTTGCTTTCTTTTCCATTTCCTCATCTCTCCTCAATCCAAACAAAGCCTAAATTATATTAGGATAAATATATATTAACACCAAATTATCCCCATCCACTCTTTTCGTTTTTGTTAGTTGAACTATAACAAAAACATATGAACTAAAATTAAATAATTATCCAAATTCTTTTCTTTTATTATCATTTGTTGAGTTTTTAAATATATACTTCCACTCAATTGAACCTGTATTGGGTGAAAATTGATTGATTAACCGTCATCAAATATATATTCACTTAAACGAGAACTAAATTAAATAAAAATAAATATTTAAGAATTTAATTAATTGCCACAAAACAATATAAGTTTAAATAATTATTCAATTTTAGCTCAGGGTCTTTTTTTTTATTCATTTAACTCTTGGTTAACTAAAATTAAAAAATAGATTAATTATTATAGCAAGAAAAAAAAACAATATTAGACATAACCCCATATATATATTCAATAGAATTTTTTTTTCCAATTAGTCATGAAGGTCACTTTAAAATAGAAAAAGACAAAAGGTTTCATTATCATGAAGGAAGCACATGTCCCATAGTCAGAGGTGGCAAATGGGATTAGGTTCAAATTGGATTATTTTGGGTAGAAATATTTTGAGTTTAAATTAATTCAAGTTTGAGTTACGTCGAGTTCAAATAAGTTCGATTTCGATTAAGGTTAGATTTGATTCAAGGAAAATCAAGTTATTTAGGGTTTGATGTATTTTAATATGAATCAATTCAGATTTAGGTAATTTTAATTTTAAATTTGTTGAATTTAACTCTCAAATCTTTAAAATTTAACACTTTAATTTTTCATATTTAATTTATTAACTTCTCAAAACAAATAAATATAATTAAATTATATAAAAACAAAAAAAAAAAGTTAAATGATTTAAAAGTAATATACTAATAATATGAAATTATGTTACATTAAATATAAAATTAACTTTCTTCATCATAAAAAATTTTTTATGATTTTTTTGTTAACTAATATTTAGTATTTATTTTTAATATTTCATACTTTAATTAATTATTAATTTATTATTAATTCATATTGATATTTTATACAATGATATTCATTCACATTATTCTTTAATAATGAATTGAAAATGAGCAAATAATTTTAAATAATTTCAAAAAAACTCATCTTTAAAGTCAACATTAAGTAGTACGATAATGTCAAAAAAAAAAAAAAACTATTGATACGATTACTTAATTAGAATAATGATCTAATATTAATATTTTAAAAGAAATTTAAAATATCAAACTTACTTATCCATATTATTAATCTAATTTAAATAATTGACCCTTTAAATAGATATGACATGGTATGATTTGATGTGATTAACTTGATTTTAATTTTTAGTTTTTAAGTTATAATATTTAATTTTGAGGGTTAATTTTATGTATAAAAAATATAAGTATAATTGTGCATATACAAATTAATACTATATAAGTTTTTACATTTTGTTCATAAAAGAATTTAAGAAGTTTATTGTCTTAACACAACTAATCTTTATTATAATTAGTTATATAGTAGAAGATTATTATATTTAGTAATTAAAATGAATAAATATAATATTATTATTCTACCTTTAAATTATATTTTTGTTTAAAATTAATAATTAATTTTTATATTTATTATTTATTAATAAATAATAATAATTTATTCAAATTTTCTATACAAAAAATTAAATTAAATTAAATAATTACCTTTTATCTAATAACATTTTCTTTCCCTTCAAAATTGAAAATATAAGATTTCAAAAAAAATCCTCCAATTCAATTATAACCCAAAATTTAAAATGAGGTCATTTCAGGTTCAAAATTTAAATCAATTTAAATTTGAATTAGGTCGGGTTTGAGTTAATTTAAATTCCAATAAATTCTGATTCAAATTAATTTGAATTTAGATCAGATCTGATTGGAATCGTTGATTTTTTAATCAAATTGAGTTAATCAAATTTCTATTTGAATTAATAGGGTGAATTTTTTTGGATCGGATCAACTTTGGCCATCTCTGCCTATAGCCAAACAAAATTCGAATTTGTTTCATACTTTCAAAGTATATTTTCTAAAACTAGAAACTAACCAATGATGGGAAAATGAACATATGTATGGAGAATACTAGGATGAAGAAAGACGCTCTACCATGTTGCCTTTTCGTATTTGTTAATTTAGGTTATATATTATGGTTAAGAATATTAAGTTAATTCAGTATTAGTTTTGTACGGTTTTTTCCGTTCATAGAATTTAGAAGGTAAGAAAGGAATTGGCTTGATTCGAATCCAAACTTTTCATGCTTTAAATTCTTAAGGTTTTTTTACCATTAAGTGAAGAAACAAATGCACGACATAATTTAAGATTTGTTAAAAATTATGAAATGACATGTTTTTTACACATGATTGAAAAATCATATTTTAAGATCATCTTAATATAATTTAAATTCTCTTAAATCTAAACCAAAAGTCTCTATAAATAAATAACATTAAGAAACCATTTATCATGCGTGCTTATGAAAGCATTTTTTTTATTCCAATGGAAGCTAAAATATTAATGGAATTGCCTGCGAGACCCGTCCCTCTCCTTGGCTGTTTCAAGTTTCCTATAACAGATTAGGGTTTTCAATTGTAAAATGGTGAAATCATGTTTCTACTCCGCTTCGTACAAAAAATTCATATTAGGCTTCTCTCCTTTGCGAAATTTGTTTAGTTAATTTAAAATTAAATTTATAAGTTCCAAAAAAACTTTCATTTTATTATATTATGATTAAATAGTGAAATTTTGTATTATACTTTAATTATGTTGAATTTTTTATTATAATTTTATTTTGGTTTTTTTTTTTTTTTAAATAAACGATGAAGTAATATTTTGTTTACGTGGTTTAAATAAGTTATAAAGAAAAATTATGACATGCACATTCACACTCCAAATTTTATTGTTTTTTATTTTTTTTTTATTGTCAAGTTTTTTATCTCATTTTTTTTTCTCGTCAACTCAGAAAAGTACGACCTCGGGGCACTATTTTATTAATTGTTGTTATAAATTCAAGCAAATTGAAATATAATGAAAAAAAAAAAAAAAAACCAATATACATACTATCAAAAGGAAGTCTTGGCAAATAATTTAGTGTTCAATTTATGGATGGATGACACATTTCAGTTCTAGGTTTAGTTAAAGGGCTAATTGAATGACATTTTTCATTCAATTAGGCATCCGCAAATTTTTTTAATTTTTTTAGTTTTGGAATGGTTTTTATTTATTTTAAAAACAAAAATAGAAAAATATAGGAAAAATAAAAGAAACGGAAAACAATTATTTTTTTATTTTTCCTCTTATTAATATTTCATTTTATTTTTTAGAAAAATATTTTTCATAAAAAAGTTACAAAAAAAATGAATGGAAAAGAAAAAAGAAAAAGAAAAAAATTGAGATTTTTTTTCTTTTTTTTTCTTTTAAAAATTTCTTTAATTTTTTCTAAATGTTTTTCATAAAAATTTATAAAAATAAAAGTATATAAAAAATATCAATAACAAATAATCACCAATGAATTAATCATCAATATTAATAATAAATATAATTAAATTTGTCCTTAAGTAGAAACAATCCCAATTGAAGTGCTCAACTGATTGTCAATTTGAGAAAATATCATAATATAAAAGTTTTCATTTATTATTTAGAATAAATAAAAGATTAACATCTTATAAATATATAATAAATAGAAATATAAAATACATAAAACCAAAAAAATTTTCATTGAAATTATAATTTTTTACAGTTTTTATTTTTCTTCCTTAATTTTCATAAAAAATTTAAAATATATCAAGAGCTGAAAACATATTCAAATAATTAAAAAGAAGAAAAAAAAAACACACACACACACACACAAAATGCACCTATGCACGAAAAGTTAATAAAAAACAATAATCACATCATATTAGATATTATATTTATTTTTTATTTTTTAATATTTTATAATATTTCACGAGAATTAAATTTTTTGTTATTTTTATGTTAAAATAATATATATATATATTGAAAAAAAAAAAAAACTGTTAACCGGGGTCAAATTCTAGCTCAATATTGAACTGTAGTGATAAATTTGTTTCTTTTTTCTTTTTTACTAAATTTGGTATTTATTTTGAAAGATTGAAAAACTTATTTTTAAGATTTAAAATTGAAAAAATAATATTTATGATTCCATTTACTGTAAGTACTAATATTAACCGTAACGTCAAACTATGAAATAATAATATTAACTGTAAGTATTAATAATAGTACATTTGATTTTTAATTTCTTAAACTATGAAATTAACCGTTATGTCAAAGAAAAATATATACATGAAATCAGTTTTATCTTGATAGCATGTCAACTAATTTCATTTGATGTTTATAAAAAAATAAAATTTGAAAATTAATAATCGTATTTTGCACGCTAAATCAATTATATATGTAACCTTTTCGCTTTTTGGTTCTTTAGTTTTTTTTTCCCGTTTTAATATTTAAAAGCCATGTGACTTTCTTTTATAATTATTAATTGGGTTTATTTTAATAATTTATTATGAATTATGATGTTTGGAATTTTATTCTCCTTGCTCCTCACTAAAACAATATAATATATATATATATATATATATATATATACATGCAAGCCCATTTCACAAAAAAAAAAAAAAAAAAAATCCGATTAAAACAATATGTATCTTTCTTTTTATTCCACTTCTTGTTACAAAATCAATTGATAATAGTAAATTTGATACGTGAATCTAAAGTCTAAACTAATATATATGATCCCATCAATCAATTTACACCAGTAAGTAACTCTGTAGTCAACCGGGTGATTTGCATAAAAACATCTAATAACAATTCAATACGCGTTTAAGAATGTAATGTAATTTAAACAAAAAAAAAAAAAAACAGAAAGAAATTGAATTAAAAATGGATTTGGTAGATTGCTTTATTTCGGCTTTCTGTGATCAGATTGACACGTTGTCCCTAAATTGTAGCAAACATCCGCATGCCATTACTCTCGGAGTAAATGTTTAATTAAGAATTTAATGTTTACATGATTTTTAATTAAAGATTTAAACTTTAATTTGGTTCTGTAACATTTTTAAATTTATTTAGATAAGGCTTTTCTATTACTGCTGTGGCTTACACGTGAAAAAAAAAACGTGAATTATTATTTTACAATATAATAAACAGTAAAAATAGCTGAAACCTCTACCTTCTCCAGCTTCACTTTTCAAGCAAACCCTACCGTTTCCGTGTTCTTTTTAATCAAAGAGCAAACACTCAGAAATCAATCTCTTCCTTTATCGATTTTGTCGCCAATGATCCCTTGGTCTTCGTCCTTTACCAGCAGTATAACTTCTTCATAACTAAAACTACAATCTTTTGTTCAACCCATTTTCTGTGTTATTTTCTCTCTAAATCCCTAAATCAGAATCCAACTACAACCTAAAAAGTAAAGAGCTCAAGAATCACAAAATTTTATCGCTAGAATCAGACATCATTCACCGCTCATTGTGCTGTCGATCGATCAGTGCCTCTTTCATTTTCTAACTCTGTTTTAAAATCCAAAAATTTCCTTAAAAAATCCAAAAAAAAAAAAAAAAACTCATTGCTGAAAATTTCCCAAAAAAAAACCAAACCTAGAAAAATCCCAATCAAACCTAAAAAGACCCTTACTGAGAAATTTCCAAAAGAATCAAATACAAAAAAACCCTTGTTGATGAATTCTAGAATCTTGCTATTGCGGTTGCTTCTATGTATTAGAACCTTCTTGTTGGATCAATTACGCATTTGAGGCTAGTTGCTGATAGCTAATCTTAATGATGAATTTGTTTTGTTGATTGCCTAATTCTTAGAACAATTAATTTATTGTGTATTTTTTCGCCCCTTCAAAGATTCACCCAATTTTTTTGCTTTTCAATTGTCTTTGATTGTGAATTGCTAATGTTTGGCCTCTATTGCTTAATTATTTGAGATTAATTGTTGTGATTGATTTTGCTCCTTGCCTCCCTATTGATTATCAATTGTTACTATGCTTAGATTTTGTGTTTTTTTCATTGGAATAAATGGCTTTAACGAAAAATGTTAACAAAAAGTAGACTTACCGATAGATGTAAGTCATAATCATAACTTAGATTTTTTTTATTTGAATAAATTTGAAAACATTATATCATATATTGAATTAAATTAAAATTGACATTTTTAATTGAGTAATCACTCAAATTTTTAATTTTAAATTGAACATTTAACCCTTTTATTTACCCCTTTAGACTCATTTATTATTATTATTATTATTAATTTTTTATTTTTAAAAAAATCTTTAAAACTTTTAATTAAAAATTTAAAATTTAAAATAAAAAGTGACACTGTAATTTTAAAAATAATCCATTGACTACCGGAATTAATCAAGAGTGTAAACTCATAAATTGAATCAGAGTTTAAGTGCTTAATTGTAATGTTCTTTTAGATGTCAAATTAATAATTTTATTAATTGAGTATCAAAAGTGTACTTAACCTTTATATAATCTAAAAAATTATTTCATCAATTTTTTTCTAATTCTAACAATTATACTTTATTACAAATATTGAATTTTTGAAAAAGGAAAAGAAAAATCAAATGAAAAACAATACATAAATAATCGAACTGTAAAGAACTAAAAAAAAATGTATCCCACTAAAATTTTAATATATATTATGTGCGCACAAAAAGATATCAAAAGCCTTTGACAGTTCATTAATTAAAATAATTCAACCTGAGACTATTTACTTTAGGAATGATTGCTTCATGATTTGAATTTGAAAGATAAGCACTTCTTGATAGTTCCAAGTATTTTGTATTATTGATTAAATTAAAAACAAAAAAAAAAAAAAAAAAAAAAAAAGAGAACCGCAACGTGGATAAAAAAAGGGATCGCTATATTTTATGTATTAATCTGTAAAGGTATGTAAGCTAGAAAGAAGGTAATGTAACGTATATGGTAACACATTGGCAGGAAGCATATTGCTCGGCGCTCAGCAAGCTAAAGGAAGCCATGGAAGAGCCACAGCAGGAAACAATAGCTTTCATCAACGGCATGCATTCACAACTGAGGGAGCTCGCAAGAACTAATCCCCAATCACCAGATGTATTTCTGGTATGTTCCATTTACCATAATCAAACTATCTCCACTATTTTCCTCTATCTGAAACTTGTTTCACAGGCAACAGAAATGAATAATTCAAACTGGAGCAGGGACCAACAGAAATGAGAGTCAAATGTCAGGGAGTGCAGAAACCACCGTGCTTAAAGAATTCCTCTAACATCTATATGGAAAACATTATAACCTGCTATGATGTAAAATTCTGGTACTAGAACTTCAGTTCTCTCTTTCCTTTCCTTTCCTTGATGTTATGTTGCAATGGAAGATACCTAAGTTTATATATATATATATATATATATATGTGTGTGTATATATATATATATATATAACTATATATAACTATGCCGGTGGCATTACATTTTATGCCTGCTGCTGACCTATTATTTATTCATAATCTTACGTATCAAACATGCTCTTATCTACGGATGATAGGAAAACCTGAAAAAGGAAAAGAACAGAAACAAGGAAAACATATTGCAATGGCAAGGTAGATGTAACTTTAACTCCATGATATCACTTAGTTTTGATTGATCAAATGGCTTATTGCTCCACAGCAGAACAACAATAAAAAGGTTTAGGGGCAAGAGATTACTCATTTTGGATGAAATCACTTCAGTTCTTTTTTGCTTCCAGAATAAAAACAGCACATGCTACATGAAACAGCTGCACTTATTAACAATTTGACCGTGAAATAATCTTGTGTTTTGGTTTTACATCACCACCTTCAATCATTCATATAATTAACCCTTTCTGAGATGCAAAGAACAAGATAGACATCTACCAACCAGATACAACTAAACCACCATTTGTTTTTAATTATACAGTAGAGAAGTCTTACTTCGGCAGTGCGATTAGTTAGAAACCATGCTCTCGGTCTCTTTCACAAAGCCATCTCCTGTCCAATCTTTGTCAGACTGCAAACCTTTCTTAACAGCTTTCCTCTCTTGAATTGCTTCTCGCTGCCTTCGCACTAAATCTGTATGAGTTGTAAAATATTGAAGGGAAGCCCTGAAACACCATCAAAGAAAACAGATTAAATAACAAAAAAGATAGATGCAGTATCCAACTAATATTCTTTAAACTTATGTGCAATTGCCATTTGAAGAAATAAAGCACATACCCTCTGAAATCTTCTATTGATGAGAAATTGTGCTTTTTCATGAAATCCTTTAGCCCTGCAGATAGTTTCTTCACAAGGCCATAGCCATGCATCATAACACCTGTACAGACCTACAAGCATAGGTGATGATGCAAGCTTAAAACATATATAGAAATTGATTAAGAAATTCGGTAATTCATAAAATAAGGATACAAAGCAAAATGAGCATAAAGATAGTTGACAGTAACTTGTGCTCACAACAAATCATATCCATGCAAAACTTAAGAACAACTGTAAAGGATAACACTCAATTTACAGGTTAAAGGGTAAAGCAAAAATACATAGTAAGATTCCTAAACAATTTTAGGCTAGTTATTGAAAAAAAAAAAAAATTTCATTCTAAGGCACAGCGTACAAACAAAAACAGAATACATTGGTGGATTAAATTATGAAATGTTTACCACTGGCACAATGTTACCAAATTTTTTGCACTTACTGTTTATCCAAGGGTCACATGACAAATGTTGAAATATAAGAAATTTACATAAGGCAGCTATTGCTTCCCCAAAGTCATACCAACATCACCCCTGCCCCTCTGGTGCAACCCCAACCTCAACCCAATAAAACAAAAACGTACCATTTACCTTCTGCTTTGGGCATGAAAATATGGCCTGAAGCTCAAAAACATCTACTTAAAACATAAATTAAGATGTCCTCATTCTAAATATATCAGAAAATAGGTCCTTATAAAGAAACTCAAAATCTATGATTACTAGTTTCAATTGCAACTCATAGCCAATAGTAGTTAATACAGCAATGCCTCAAATCTTTTTAGAGACCCAACATCATGGGAAACAATTTTCTCCACATTGTTACAGTGTCAATTGGCGGTTGTGAATGGGAGGGAAGGAAAGTTCTAAATTTTAGGATGGGCATCAAGCTAAAATCAACTGGCAAAAAGTGGAATGGCTCCGTTATATTTATATGCCCAAATTATCCCCAATTTAATAGATGTTGGATTTCTTTTATCTCCACTTCTAGTGCACCCCCTCATGTATAGGGGCAATGGACCTATCACATGACATGAACTTCACGTCTAGGCAAAACGAGCCTACAGTGCATGAAGGGCCTAACGAAAGGTGACAGTGCCTACTCTGATACCAGTTAAATTTTATGTTGGGCATTCAACCTAAAACCAAATGGCAATAAGTTGAGCAGTCCTTGTTATATTTATGTGTCCAGGTTATCCCTAATTTATCGGACATGAGATTGCTTTCATCTCCACTTCTAATATAAAGCATCTCAAAATTCAAGGTCTGAAATATTATATGCTCCCATCCCAACAGAAAAGAAATGACCTACAAGAGTAGCTCTAACAAGCTGATATCATGTCATATTAAGACAACTGTCAATCCATTGTCTCATGTTGCTTCACCAAACGACTTTTATATAAAATAGAGCCATTCCTAGATAAACAAAGAGCAGATTAACAACCATGTAGTCTTTGAACATATCAGCTCAGCATGAAAAGAGGGTGGTTATGACACTAAAGGAACCCTTCTATCATGAAATACGAATATGATACATTACCAAAAAAAAAAAATAGTATGTGAATATGCATTCCACGTAATTCCATGGCAGATTATTATTTTGGAGTTTAGGTTGAAATGCTAAGACCTATCGTTCAAAGGAGGATACTATTTTATCCAGAGGCATGAAGAGACAATACTGGAATTAGCAAAAAACAGTTTTTGAGAATTATTTTCCAGATTCTACCTGAACAGTATTTGCTCCAAGCAGAACAAATTCAGCAGAATCACCCCCTGTCTCAACACCCCCAATGCCAGAAAGTGAGTACTCCTTGTTGTTAAATTCCAAATTTATCATTTTTGCAATGCTCATTACTTTGGCAAGTGCAATAGGATGAACTGCTTTGCAAGAATAACCCCCAGGAGTTGAGTAGCTGTAAACAGAAATATAAGTGCACAAAATTTTCTGGGATGAATTCTGAGCCAGTGGAAAACAGAAGATTGTTAAATTTGAGAATACTAACCCCTCAACACAAGGCTCTGGACGTAAAGTATCAAGGTTGATTCCCATCACACTCATGATTGTATTAATAGCAGATACCCCCTCACATCCTGAACTTAAAGCCACCCTTGCTGGCTAAAAACATACAATTGCGGATAATACCACTTATCACTAGTAAATCACTATTAACTGCATCAGGAAAAATAGGAATAGAAAGACGGTAAAAGTAAGGATATATTTCCATTGCTTTCATTCTAATGGGAATTCTGAACAATAATGCTTCAACCCCTTCTTGAATAGTAAAATATGTGCTAAAGAATCAAATAAAACCATGAAGTTTTGAGATTGAGTAACCAATAAGTTTCAATCTCAAGAAAACCATGAATTATATAGATTAGTGATGAACTTAAAGCTGAAATAGCTTTGATTGATCAAGTCAACCGCATGAGAAACGGTTAAATCTAGCCTCTTACAAAATTCTAGGAAAACAGCATAAAACAACATTTTTTTTTGTCCGTAGGAGTAAATTCTATTCACTGGTTTGTTTGCCTTGATAATCTTGGACAAATTATTCACAAAAATGACAATCAATTTTGTCAGTGATTCTCAATGTCTCCAATCTATAAAAACAACAATGATGTTCACTTCCATTCATCTTCAACAATAATTCACACAAGCAACAATATAAAAAAAAAAAAAACTTGCAATTATTTTTTGCCCTCAATGAAATTTCTACTTATAGCCAGAAATTAAGGCTTATATTATCTCTTTCTATTTTTATAGATTAGAAAATTTATAGTGGTTTTTCAGAAACAACACTCTTGGTGAAAATGTTGCTTAATGGTGGCTCATATCACCAAAATACCCAAATGTCATGAGTTTTGAAATATAGACATTTTTATCCCTGGGAGACAACAACAGAATAATTTCATACATGGTGATACAAAATCAAATAGTTACTCTTGCAAAAATGCTTTCAACTAATGGAAATTGTTATGAACCATGCCATAAAGTTTAAACAGAACTACAGAGACAAGATGTCATAAAGGCCAAAACATAGGTTTCCAGACTAGCATCTCAGCTGCTTGATCCATGACAAGTGTAAACATGGTTCTAAATCATAAGATCCTATGTTCTTTAAATGCTACTAAACACCAGAATTTGAGAGCAAGTTCTGCATAAGTAGTGAAACAATAAAAAAGAATGTAACACACCTCTGTGATATCAGTGATGTTAGGAGTCATCTTTGCCCATACAGGAACAGTCGCTTTTGCATTTATCCATCCACAAACTTCCTCCAACAATGCACAATCTTGCCCAACTGCTGCACCCATTTTACGCTCAGGCATGCCATGAGGGCATGAGAAATTAATTTCAATGGCATCCTAGAAACAAGATCAATAGATGACTAATGCTTTTAAATATGAGAGATATAAATAAACATAGAATCTACATGAAGAATACAGCTTACAATCCCAGTTTGCTCCACTCGATCAATAAGTTCTTCCCAGGCAGCTTTTTCATACTCCTCCATAATAGAGGCAATGAGAATCCTATCTGGATACTCTTTTTTCAGTTGCTTAAATTCTTTTAACATAGTTTCAAGAGGGCGGTCACTGATAAGTTCAATGTTCTCCCACCCAATTATCTGTCCTTTGGCTGAGCCATTTGCTCCTGCTCGTAGCCGGGCATACCTAGGAGTTACATTGATAACCTTGGCAGCATCTAGTGACACCTAGCAGAATAATTTGGTACAGAGATTCCACATTTAGCATGAAAATGTGCATAACAGGAATATTCCAGATGTAAAGGAGGGATAGGTAAACATGCTTAAAAACCAAGGTGGTCAATACCACATTGAAAAACATTTCGTTTTTCTATATTACGTCTAGTACTAGCAGTTATGTACCCAAGGGATATCTCAGCCACTTAGCCATTAGAACTTGAAGCTCCAACTTGGAGATTTTGGGCTTGAATCTTAGGATGAGCAGGATGGGATTTTATGCGAGGGGTGGGGGTTCTTCTCATTGTGTAGCCCAAGATATAGACCTAGTAATTCATATATGCATAACGTGGCAAACACTGACAATTAGTGTATTCATGTTGTGTTTTACATGAAAAATTACGTATCACAATTCATATCAATGAGGAAAACATAATATATGTTTTGGTTTTATCAAACCCATATAGATTTTTGCTAAAATTTTAATCTACCACTTTCCTTTTCTTATCGTTTTCATGTCGTATCACTGTATTATATGTCCCAAAAAGAGCAAGGCTAATATACCATTTCAGATTTGCTTCGAGTTAGTGAGATCTAACGAAAAGACTAATAAGACCAAATGTTCAAGACCCAATTTGTGAGATATCTATGAGAAAAGAGAAAGATATGCAATGCAAGCTACCACAACTGACACTTATCAAAGGTTAATCCCCTAAAACTACAATGAGTACTAAAAGTTATTAGGTAAAAAACTATTCAATTAACATAAGTTAAAATCTGGTCCAAAAGCAATAGTAATTTATACTGCTTTCATTGTTAAGACACCCTTTTCTTTTTTTTAAACATTTTCTGTCACGAGTGTTGCAAAATGAGAGAAAATGGAAATGTGAAGTAATTTTGTTTAGGCATTGTTTTGTAGGAAAAAAGATTAATCCCTTTTTTTCATTTTTTGTTTTGAACGTTTACTATTTCATGAACTTTAGAGAATGTGAATCGCTGCCTGATCACTTTCTTGATTCTATCATCTTCATTTTTGAAATACTAAGTTATAAAGCCAAGTAGATTTCTCTGACTGATTGCGAAAAAGTGTAAGAAAAGATGATCTTCAAATTCTTCAATGCCTTGATATGAACTAAATAACAAATACTATAACAAACTCAAACCACCATAAAAAAAAAAAAAAAGGAAAAGAAAAAACAAACGAAAGCAACGAACTTACAGTCTTGGCAATCACAGCACCCCAGCCTTCATCAAAGGCTCTCTTCATGACGGTGTAATTGGTGCCGGGTGGACCCGACCCGATTACAAACGGATTGGGCATTTGGAGACCATTCACATACACACTCAAATCAGGCTCAGCTTGTGAATCTGAAGCAAAAACCTTGAACCCAACTCGACTGGGGCGAGTCAAAGTCGGACGATCATGGCGAGTTACAGCAAAGTCAGAAATGGAGTTCCTGTTGTTGCAGCCAACCCGAGAGAAATTCAGAGAAGCCATGGGTCAAGCTTTGTCTAGTTATGAATGCAAGAATGAACAAGAAAGGATTTGAGATTGAATCTGAGTTGTAATATTCTTCAAGATTTGAAACAACGTGGAATTATAGGAATCTGCGTTGTCTTTTTGCACCTCAAAAGATAATTACTACAAGAAAGGTGAAGATAATAATAATAATAATAGAGATAAAATAACGTAGATAACGTAACGTTTTGAAATTAGAATCCACAAATTGACAATGTCAGCGACTTTTTTAGTCTCCTTTCTTGTTGTAAAAATTGGAAAACGCAGATAACGAGGAAACAAAACAGGTGTTGCTCACAAATCGCAAAGGTACTTTCGTTTCATTGCGTTGTTTCCCTTTTTTCACCTTACTAGCAGTACCAAGAAGCAAGTTATTAGCATTTTACCTATGCTTTGCTACGAGAATTATTTATCTATTTTTTAATTATTTTTTTAGTGTGAGCTTAACTTATAAAATGTGAGAAAAGTAAAAATTTATATATATTAGATCTCAATCCTCAATATAAATTCCAAAATTAATATCATAATACTACCTAGGTTATAATATGAAACACTCTTAAAAATTAAAATAAAATAATAATACATATTCATTATCACTTTCAATAATTATTGCTTCAAGCATATAACCTCTATCTTACTTAGAATTTATATATGTAAAATTCAACAAAATTCATACAAATTTCAGCTTAAAATGACTTAATTAATCAAAAAAATAACTATCGAATCAACCAACTAATTTTGAGCAAAGATGAAATGAACTATATAAAATCAAATCCATCAGCATTTTAAGACAACATATGTAAACAATGTCTTCTCAAAAAATGACCAATGAAATAGCACAAAAGTTAAGTAATGAGCATAATAGCATATGGTAAACAAAGAAAAAAAATCATAAAAGTTACTACAAATGCATGTATGGAAAACAAAACTAGATGTGCCATTAGTTTTATTGTAAAAAAGCAACCTCAATTCTCATTTTATGATCATGCTTGCACCAAAGAAATATTCAAGTTTTAGGAAAAAATTTGTTATCATTTTTACCTATCACTATGGGACCAATATGGTTTAAATTGAATATGTAAAAAAATTATGAAAGAATTAATAATAAAATCTAATTAAAAGTTTCAAACTACAAATATATTTATATAATAACTGCTATATATTCGCTACTTAAGTAAATACCAAACATGGAATATCATAACTTTTATCTTATCATCTTCATCATTATGCTTAGCAAATACAACTTCAATTCATCAAACAAAAACAAGACCTAGAAGTAAGAAAAATCAGTTAAAATGACCAATGCTTAATGGAACAAGATCATTATGACTTATACTTTGTTTTGCATAGGTTGGATAATTCATTACATCAAAGGTTATCCATTTCTTCATACATACAAAAAAATAAAGGAAAACAACCAAAAAATGTCTTGGCCTAAGTTTATTAACTCTTAATCTCTCTATCTTTTAAAACTTGTTTTATAAAATTAACATAGGTTTTATTTCATAAATTAACCATTGCTTACTTAATTTTAGCTTATTCCTTAGCAAATATTGCAAAATTCTCCTAAATTTGTGTATTTAATCTTTTTTTGTATGTCATGGAATGAAACATGGAACCAATGTGATATGGCCATGACATGTAGGATTGAAGATGGCCATGTCAACAGGAACCTAATCACAAAGCTGAACCATGAAAAAAACTCACTTTGGATTGAGGCTAAAATCAAATATTCAACACCTTTGATGGCATGGACTCTTGAAGTTGACTTGGAGGTTGACATAAGAAGATCAAATGATGATTAAAGCCATATTCAAACCTTGATGGGGTTATGAGAAAGAATAAAGCTAATTAGGACCATATGTGAATCCACTTAATAAAGTCACATGCTAGATGACAACTGAGCACAAAGGATAAAGTTGCTAAATTTTATTTTTGAAATACTCGACTTCTAGAAGGATTTATGATTTTAAAAATCAAAGTTAAGGTGGATTAATGTGGTGTTCCTATTGGATGGAAAATGAGCATAATGATTTTTAAGAAAGAATGACACTTACCTTCTGCCAGAAAGTTGTCAATGCCTTAAGTTGTTCTCTCATCATTGATCATGACTTTGGGTAAATTTCTATAAAAGAAAGGACAAGCTAAGCTGGATGTTGAGTTGCTACTTAAAAAAAAAAGGCATTAGTCCACCTAGGCTACTTACATGGATTGCCAAAGAAAGCATAGATGTTATTTTCCTTAGAAAGGGCTTTTTGTCTTAAGTTGGATTAAAGTGTTACCTTTATTTCAATGGCCCTTTGGATAGCCAAAAATGCAACCTTTAAAGCCTCTAGAAACATGACAACTGACTTGACATATGGCAGCAAAAAGAAATTGCATTGGACTTTCCACACAAGCATTACATGGAAAAGAGTATAGTTAAAAATGCTAGGTAAGCTTGTGTGATTTTTCAAGCTTATACTAGACTCTAGAATGCTCTTTATCTAGTTGACTTTTTAAAGGGATGAGATCATGTAATTTAGATCTTTGATTAGTTAAGATATACCCTAAGTTTGAAACCTTAGGAGTAGACCTAGAAAGTCTCTTAAAGATTTTTTTTTTCTTTCTATTTTTCTAACCTTCATTTTCACCTCTTTTAAGCAATAATATTACTAACCATGAAATTGGGCATTTATAGGTCTTTTACCTTTGTTTTCCCTTCTTTTTATTAGCCATTTTCTTTTTTTTTATTTTTTATTTTACTTTACTTGTATTAAGCACACTCTTTAATTTGTAGTACTTGTTTCTTTTATTTTGTTAAAGTAATTTCCACCTTTCATTTTGTGTTTCCATTTTTGGTTTTTCAACCTTGTTTTCTTTACTTTCTAGCTTTATTTCTACTTTGTCTAAGCTTATGAATGCTTGAGAAAGATGGTTTTTGGATGCTAGAGTGATAAACATCATCATTAGGCTCCAAATGGCTTGAGTCTCCTTTAGTTCTTTCTTTTCCAACATTTATTTTTGGTTTTTATTTTTCTAATTTTAGATTTTTTTTAGTTTATTGAGCTTGATTTTAGGGTTTATTTTCTTATTGTTTTAGTTTATTTTTATGCATCCATCATGTACATATATATGTTATCTTCATGCTTTTAATTTTCTAGCATTTTTATTCTCTTTTATTTTTCATTTTATAACTTATTTTAGTTATATAGCTTAATTTTATTTTTGATGCTTTTAAGTTTGATTTTTGGATATTGTTGCTTTATGTATTTTTTGTTTGTTTTTAAGTTTATTTTGAAGTATAGCTATTATATTTAGTGTTTCTTTCTTGTTATTTTAGTTTTATTAGCATCTAAACTCATAAGTTCTTATTTTAGTTCATTTTCTTAACTTTCAGTTTTGTTCAATTATGTTTTTCACTACTTTCTATTTTGTTTTTCTAAATCTTTTCCTGTAGATTAATTGTTGTATTTTAAGTTTATTTCGAGTCTTTTAGGCTAGGCTCCCATTTAAAATTGTAAAACTTTGCTGTGATATCACCACTTTTACCTAGTATGAGTTTGAGTCCTTTTATAAAGCTTGGGATCGATACAAGGATCTACTTATAAGGTATTCTTATTATGGCTTACCCAAATGGCTTTAAATTCAAATATTTTATAATGTACTCTTAGAAAACACTAAGACAATCATTGATGTTATTGTCGATAGAGTACTTATTAAAAAATCTACTAATGATGCTTATGAGCTAGTTGAAGACATGGCAGCCAACCATTATTAGTGGTTGTTAGAAATGCAAAATCTTAAGAAGGCTACTAAAGTTACAAATTAGATGCCTTCTATAACTACTCAAATAGTTAACTTAGCTAAAAAAAATTAAAGGCATTCGGATGTAGTTCTAATTCTACTTCAACTCTTACTTACAACCTTATCCAATCAATACAAAGCCCATTATTCAGCTGCGATATGTGTAGAAGTAGTCACTTCATAGATTATTATCCCATTAGGTTAGAGTTGATTCATTCTATTGCTTAGCCTAGTAGACAACAAAACAACCTTTATTTTAACATATACAATCTTCACTAGAAAAATCTCCTAAACTTTTTATGGTAAAACAATCATAAGCAACCATCTAGTTCTAAACCACCATACTCTCTTAGTTTTTCTCAACTTGCAATTCTATATTAATAACCACTTTGCTCTCAAGAGAAGAAATTTTCCTTTGAAGACATGTTCTCTTTTATTTTCCAAAATCAAAACATACTAGTAATCGAGCCAACTTCATTCAATGGTGGTTTGCCACATTTCAAAGTCAAGCAATTATCATAAAAACCTAAAGGTAAAAACAAGACAATTAGCTTGTTATGTCAATTGTCGTCTGCAAGGTATCTTTTCAAACAACACTAAAATTAACTTAAGAAGGGAAGGTAAAGCGCATTGGAAGGTAATTTACCTTAAAAGTGATAGAAAAATGCCTAATAACCTTGATAGGCCTACCTCTATAACTATACCTATAAAGTTTATTATAGTAAAGGAAAGAGCAAAGAAAGATGAGGTAAAGGTAAAGAACAAGAAAATGTGAAGGATTCTTTAGCTCACTAAAACTTAGATTTGTGGTTCAACTAAGCTTATTACTAGCAAGTTTGATTTTTGTAGGTGAAGCATCCTATTTCCTTAATGGTTCTAATAGCAACAAAAATTCAATTAGTAATTTTTTAAATTTTTAAAGATTTTCAAGAAACTACACATTAATATCCCCTTTACTAATGCCTTAAAACAAAAGCCCAGCTATGCTAGATTCATAAAAAAAAATCATCTCTAAAAAGCATAAGTTGGTTGACTATCAAATTATGGTACTTAATGAGGAATGTAGTGCCATCATTCAAAGTAAAATTTTGCCTAAGCTTAAAGATTGAAGGTGCTTTATTATTCCTTACACCATATAAAGATTATTATTTGATAAAGCACATTGTGATTTAAAAGCTAATATCAATCTTATGCCTTTAATAATTTTTGGATAGCTTGGCTTAAGTGAGACTAAACCTAACAATTTCACTCTTTAGATGTTGACAAGTTTCTTAAGTATTCGAAAGGGAGTTTTGGAGGATATTATGGTTACAGTTGATAAATTTTATCTCTCAATTGATTTTGTAGTTCTAAAAATGGAAGAGAATACTAAAATTCCTATCATTTTTAGGAATTACACTATTGCTTACTTAATTTTAGCTTTTTCTAAGCAAAATTACAAAATTCTCTTAAATTTATGTACTTTATCTTTTATGCAGGT